TGACGATGCGGCTCAATATTTTGCTTTGGGTGGACAGGAGCGTGATCCCGCGCCAGTTCTTGTAAAGGCTTAGGTCGTCCTTTTTCGGTAGTTTGACAAGCTAGCCCTTCTTGCAATCATCAGGTACCTTCCTTTCTTGTGGTTGTTTTTCAAAGGGTGACGGGACATCAACGAATGAAGTCATTGACTGTCAAATGCAGTCATTCAACTGACTGAAGCCTTTTTGGATGAATTCTTCGGAACAAGTTGTGAATCACCGATTAAGTCCTATTGGTAAAGTGGTCTAGAATCGATCAACTGAAAATGTAACCCCCCTTAGAATCTTGTAGACTTAATTGCTACTTATTTCCCTGTTCTACCGGTCTTCAAATTCTCCTCCTTCTTCTTCTTGGTGATTTCTGCGTCTCATTTATACCATTTTGATTTCATCTTGTGCTGTGATAGAATGTTGTAAGTTGAGTCATAACACTGCTGATGAGTTCAGCACTATGATGAAACAGTTAACCAGTCCATTTAAATTTCCAGTGGTTCTCCAATGGATGACAGTCCATGACGAATATCACCATGAAATCAATTCGACACTATTCTTATCCAACTGCCTCACTATAAGCAACAAGAAATCATGAGAAAGTTTCTATGTAAAGTTTCTTGATGGAAACCAAACAGCCTAGACTAGTCTATGTTGAATCCATTGAAATAATTTAATGATAAGATTGAAAGTTTATTGGATGGAGAAACGTGGTGAAATGGTCAGCTGGTAATCCTACAACTGGTACCCACAAATAAAACTGATCTTCTGTTAGTGGTTTCAACTTTACAAGTGTGGTTGACTATTCCCTACTACATCTGAATATCGTCGTTTTCTTTCAAGACTAGCTTCATTCAGTGTTAAAGTATGTTAAACAACCACTTATGGTTACCAAACTGATGATGAAGTGTTTACATGGTCTCCTCAAACGTTCTATCACTAAGTTTCTGTGGTAGGATCAAATTGCAGTATTTATCTAATTGTTTCACTTCCAACTTCCAAAGCAACAGCCTGACCTTCCATGCATTATGTATATTTGCGAAGTATTTTTGAACAAGTCTTGATATCTACATAACCATGTATCGAACGTTATGTTTACATCAGATTCATCTACGAATTCGGAGATGCTGCTAATGATATTGTCAATGGCTGGAGATGGATCGACTGAGGAGGATATTCGTAAGCCAGCAAGCAACTCCAGATTTTCAACACCAATGTCAAGTTAGCGCTTCTGTATGCTTCAGAGACTTGGCGGGTTACGAAAGGTATTTCCAACAAACTACAGACATTCATCAACAACTGCCTACGCTGGCTTGTTACTGAAGATCAGATGGACAGAAAGAATAAACAACAAGGAACTCTGGGAACAAACAATTCAAAAACCCATCGGCCAACAAATATGCAGAAGGAATCGGATGTGGATTGGGCATACACTGAGAAGGCCGACTGGGGACATCACGCAACAGGCCAGGCACTCAAGTGAAACCCAGGTGGGAAACGAACAGTTGATCTTCTGAGCTGAGAGTGACATCGACGAGATGGTATGAGGAAGAAATGAGAGCTTCTAGACAGGGATGGAACCAGGTTGAAAATATTACTGAGAAAAGAGTGAAATGGAGGCGTGCTACTGAAGCCATATGTTCCACTAGGAACCTAAGGGAATAATGATGATAATAATAACAAGCAACTTTATCTTTTTAACCTTCTGCTCTATTAATTTCTCCAAGTGTGATGGGTCCATTTCTAAGTATACCCGTCGCTAATTTGCTATAGCCGGTAGTATGACCTAACAACGATAAGAACCTAACGCGCAGCGAATCCATTCTGACGCTAATCAGAACGTCAGTCAGCACCACAACAAGATCACCGACACACGAAGACAAGAAGAGAAGACTGACCGTTGACAGAGACCTTTTAACTGTCTCAACAAGAGTCGATACACTTGATAGAGATGCTAAATATATACATTTCCGAATGACCTTGACAACACTAAATCCACATGTAGTTAACAACCAATGAGAGTTAAGCCTTCAAAGCAGAGGGAAAAAGACTGGTGATGGTGTGAAAACAGCCATGATAGGTTATTTTAAGGTCATGGGCAGAACAGAAGACAAAAGCTATGCAAAATTAGGGGTATGTGACAGGTAAGCTCATTTATATACGAAGTTTCGGTCACCTAACGAGTTACTAGTCCCTACTTCTTCGCATAGCTGTTCAACAACTGAGATCGCTGAGGATAGAATTTGCTCGACTGACTATTATATTGAAAAGAAGAGATTGAACTACCTCCTTGTCAGAGTTTTACTTGTGTTACAATCTAACTCGTAGTACCTAGAACTGGGATTTAAGATGTCAAGTCTGTCCTGTTCGAGCCACTCCCTCAATAAGTAGGCAAATCACAAGAAAATTAAACCGGAGGCAGTACAGAACAAGATGTACAAGGACTGGATTGAACTGATAGACCACTACTGACATGTAAGCTCTTATGTGGATACTTGGATATTGCCGGTATTTCCTGTTACCATAATAATGATGTGTAGTGGCCGACAGTTATGATCCTGGAGGAGATTGGTTCCCATTGCATGATAGAAAGCCTTCGATGATCTTGAAGATATCATGATAGCCACTCCAAAACTCAATGTAGTCGTGGTCATCGTCTGTGTGACAATATCACAGTAGATTATTGACTCTCCAGTAAACAGTTCAGAGAGTCGACTTTCATTCCATCTACTTTCGCAGATTCTTAGCAATTCTATGCCATACCTTCTCATCACTTTGGCAATCTGGGCAGCCTTGCTAGGTTCATGCATGGTGCGGACATTCCATGTCTCCATTCTTACTTTCTCTTCCATCGAGAGTTGAGAAGACACATCCGCTAGTCGGCTTCTCCAAGGCTCTCACCAACCGGCATCATTTTGTCGCCCCAATTCCAGAGAGGAATAAGTGTCTTCATTTTTTATACTTTATTTGTGCTTTGAATTTTCTTTAGTGACTGGATTGGTTTTACGGGGTAGCGTTGCTGGCCCTATGCCCAACCTTCCCATTTCCCCCTTCTTAGAACCGGCTAGTAAACTACTGAACTAGTAAACTAAGCGAGAATATTAAACCCAGGATTGCAAAGACAGCAAGACAGGCCTCTCTTCATTAATCTGAAACCAATCACTGTGAAGATCTACTGCACTACACTCAGCATAAAGCGTGAACAACATACACATTTTCAACACAAATGTCTGTCAACCAAGGCACTGATTCCATGTGATACTTTACAGACTTAGCACGCTGCGAAAAGCATTTCCAACAAACTGCACACATACATCACATGAACAGCTGCCACATACACTCACCCAGTACTGAAGATGGAGATCAGATGATGAGAGTGATGAGAAAGTGCAAAGAGGAAGTCTGGTCTGCTTGACAATGAAGCAACCAACGGAGTAACAACCTATCACCTGACAATATACAGTAGAATAGAGTGGAGATGGATTTGATTGAAGATAGACTGAGAAGATGGTTTGGCGATATCACGGGTCAGGTGAGGCTGGTTGTCGAGTGTTAGCGAAATGAGAAACGATGAGTTGGGCTTCATAGCTGAGGATGATATGTAGGAGATGGTGTTAGTAAGAAATGAAAACAGTTTGTGGGTAGTGGTGGAGCCAGGCTGAAGAGACTGGAGAAAAGGGAGTGAAATGGCCGACGTACTAGTGAAGCCCTATGTTGGACTAGGAATCTAAAGAACAGATGATGATAATAATAATGATAAGGTGCCTGACAGTGGAATCCAAGACAAGCTTTTTATCCTGTCGTAACTTGGTGGTCTATTAAGCAGTGCTCTGTCATTTGGTGTGACTGGTCTTCAGCTTCCCTTTTAGTGGGAGGTAGGCTCATCTATCTGACGGATCCCAAACTGGACGAAACGCATTTCCGTTCATAATTACGTTGCCCTTGACTTACTTAGTTTTGATTGGTCAATTCATACTTAAAGGTGATTGGCTGTCAGTCTGGTTCTATCCTAAATTCATACTTGTTGACTTTCCTCAGCCAGAAGAACCTACAACCACATGGCAACCACTGTTTCTTAAATGATTCTAACTTGTGTTAATCAGCTCTGAAGTCAGAGACTTTACCTCTCAGTCATTCACCCAACAAATAACCCCTTGTATGACTAGATGAATTACACAAATCAACCGCCAATGGGTAACAGGAGTATCTACTTCATAATACACAGTACTGAGTATATATCTGTAAATAGTTATCAGATCTCTGAATAAATGCATCAAATTATAGTGACATAAGAATCAATAACGAGGTTCCTATCCACCATTTTTGCTTCATAAAGTTAGTTTTTATTTTGCTGGTTTTATGTAAAGTACTGAATCCTCCGTTTATCGTTGTAGCTAAGGGAATTAGACCTTAGCAACCAGTTCTATAATTATCTCCTTAGTCAGATGGCAATCTTCTTTATTACCGGACAATTTGAACACTTAAAAACTACTCAAGCTGATAAATACATTTCAGTGACCAGATGAGAGGGATCTAAACATTATACACTTGTTCCACTCGTCTCCAATCGATTTCATAAGCGGTATACTGGGACACATTCATCTCCCATAGCCCACTTTCTCAGTAGTATATTTCACTAGTTCACGAAAAACACACATACATACACACCTTGTATTGTTTGCTAAGAGGTGATTTCCAAAGGAAACCTTATTAACACCACAATTAGGCAGTTGAGAAAGAACTCAGCTATGAGAAATGTTTAGGTGGACAATGGAAGTTATAAATCCCATGGGAACTGATCATCCCATATAGGTGACAGTCTTTGTGTATGGTATGTTGAGTGAAGTTTATTACAGTAATGAAAATGTACTTATACACATGTATTTGGTAATTTTGACTTTGACATAGAATTTCATTATACATGACTAATTTGCTCAAAATCACATTTTTCTTCTATTCATCTTATCTCTAGGTTCATATTGATGCTCACAGTGATATGGATTATCCAGAAGTAGTTGACAACTTTCCAATTAATCGATTTCCTTGTTCTAATGAAGAAATTGAAACGTTGATGCAAGCAAATGATGAATTTATTCAGGTAGACAAGAAAAACATGATTTTTTCTATATCCACAAATGCTTAAATTCTTATTAATTGGGGTAATAGTACATTCCTTCTTCTCCCTTCACTCCTTTTTATTTAAGACTAAATCTGGAAAGTAACAACTCTGACAATCTAACCGATTAGTTCGGTAGTAATCTACTTGTTATTAGACACAGGTTGTATTCTGTTGTGACCGAATGGAATTATGGGCCTGAGTTTAATGATACTGAGACTCAATAGACACCTCAACTGAATACTGTCACAACTGACCTTCCTCACTTCCTTCTGCTTCACTGAACCAAAAAGACGTCAGAGTACTAAAGACGATCTGTGACTGTATGAACAAGAGATACATGGTATATATACTTACAAAACCTTCAGAAAATGAAGCCATAAATAAACCAATCCAATTGGTTTTACGACATCGAATTTATCCAATCAGGTCATCATGTCAGTACATGCATACATCATGATACGAAAATAATTTTTCTATTGGCTGCTTTTTGCTGCTACCTATCAGATTCTCACTGATGATGAGGAATTTCATTGGTTATTCATGTCTATATTCTAAAACCACGGTTTCAGTCACATATTTTGGGTTGATATTTGTTGAATGGAACTTGCATTTCAAAGAGTTAATTTACTATTGAAAACACAGACTGAACAATGATTGAGTATTCTCGTTAGAGTTCCATAAAACTACGGAATGATATCTGCAGATTGTGGAAATCGACTAGCGAGATTTAGTTGATGTGATCCTTCACCACCCATCCCAAAAAGTTCTCTTCAGACTCTACGTTTCTTCTGACCATTGCTCACTGTCAAAACAACATAAATTCAAATCTTGTTTATTTATTGTATATGCAATAAGCCAACATTTTGCTTTGTTTATCGCTCTTGTCTGAACCTGAAGTCGCCTTCGTGCAATCTCGACTTGCGTCCATATCTTTTGTTACTCACCTACCTACTTGTAACCTGATATCACGTCTATGCATACAAGCAGTGATTACTTGATTATGCAAAAGTATTCCTCACATGAATAACTAAGTATCCATGAACTTTCATCTAACAGGACTATAAGATCTGTGTTAGACCTAGAATACGCAGATGACGTAATCCTTTTGGGTGAAGACGGTGACAAGATGCAGAGTCTTCTGAACACTGAGTGGCAATTTGAGAATGTTTGGGATATGTTTCTTACCAACCAAAGGCAAATTGTTGGTCTAGGATTGGTCTTCAACGGTACCTTGGCTAACAATAGAGAGTATGATGGTTGAGTGTGTTGACCCCTTCACTTACCTGAGAAGTAGGACCAACCCTAAGGGCTGGCAGAGTGGTCGATGAAATCTGTGAATGAATACAAAAGGCTCGGCTGGATTTTGCCAGCTTACGCCACCTGTGGCGCCACTAGGATATCCGATTGTCTATTAAGGCTCGCGTATATTGCATAGCAGTCTGCTCTGTTTTACTTTATGGCTGTGAAACATGGTCATTGAAGGTGGAAGATATGAGAAGACTTGAAGTGTTTGACCAGTGTTCGCAGTATAGGCCTGCGTATACCCTGGTGTCACCACGTGAGTAACGCAGACGTTGGGTGTAGAGTTTTAGAGAGAAGAGGTAAGTCTGACATGGTTGGCTGAAGAACATGTGTTACGTATGCCTAGTCGCCGATAGCCTCATCACATAATGTTGGCCGAAATAGGTTCATGCTGGAGAAAGTCTCTAGGCAGCCAGACTAAAACATGACATTAATGTATGAAGTCTTTGACTGTTGGTTTGATCCATGTGGGGCGATCCAGACTAGCTGGTTGGGTCGGTAAGATAAAAAGAACAGTGGTTGGAGAGTGAATCTATGTAATCTCATGGCTGAGAACAGATGTCAGTGGCACAGATGTATCCCCGCACACATTATCCCATCTTAACGACACTATACCGAATCTCACCATTTTCTCATTCCTCCTTTCTCTCTTTTACTACTTTATATTTCTTTTGACTGAATTTTCTTATCTCCATCTTGCACCTCACTGTCTGTCTACTTGATGTAGTGATATGAGGTATGGCAACTCCGGCCGTTACGCAGTAATACCTGGTCCTATGCCGATAGATGATGATGATGATAAACGTTGATTGTCATGGTAATTAACCAATTTGCATTGATTAGTTACTGGAAGGCAACTAATTTCATTTCATCTTGTCCTGAGTGGCCATCGAATTCCATCTCTCACTTTCCAGCGTGGTTGAAAATGATCGGCAGGGAGCCCTTGTCGACTTAGGTTTTAGTGGTTTCTGGCATTCGTCAGTAGTCCTACAGGAGGTTAATCGCAGCTCGAAATACTCAGTGGTAACGATGCCAACTCTGATATTAGATGACATGGTACTGAATCTCAGAAAAGACATCAGTTCTCTTAGGTCTGTCTGTATACACTTCGTAGTAATAAGTGCCATTTACCACGAAAAGTATGTCGGGGAGGATTTTATATTGATTGTATTCAGCCAACTAATATACCAATGTGTTGATCATTTTTCTCTAAAGAGCTTTAATAATGAAATAAAAAAAGTGATATAACATCAATGGAAGTACTAACTTTCAAATTTGCTCATTATTTCAATGTAAATAAATGATAGTTTGCAGCTTAAATGATTCTACACCATCATAAAGGAATACTATAAGCAACTTGAAATTTCATAGTAATCAGTTCCAGTCAGACTTGTATGGCTAATCCTTTCATAATGGTCATTTAAACTATGTGACATGTATCATTCCCAAGAAATAAATCGATAATGGTTTATCCATCAACAATAATCTCAATATATTAATCGGTTGAATTTGTTGAATGTAACAGCTACTCTAACAGTACACCTTAAGTAAGTTGACAACATAAAAATGAGTGTATAACGTAACTTCTAAACATTTCAAAACACATTTGAATACACATTGCTCTTTTCGAGTAATTTATTACAACTTATGAAAGATCCAGTACATAACAAAATATATGAACTAGTAAAGTACTTAACATCGATTATTATTATCATTATTTGTACCCAGACTTCCTAGTGGAACATAGAGCTTCACTAGCATGTCGGCCATTTCACTCTCTTCTCTGCAGTCTTTTCAACCTGGCTCCACCACTACCCACAAACTGTAATCATTTCTTACTAACACCATCTCCTACATATCATCCTCAGCTACGACGCCCAACTCATCGTTTCTCATTTCGCTAACACTCGACAACCTGATCGGGCCTCGCCTCGTGAGTGATATCGCCAAACCATCTTCTCAGTCTATCTTCAATCAAATCCATCTCCACTCTATTCTACTGTCTATTTGTCAGGTGATCGGTTGTTACTCCGTTGGTTGCTTCATTTTCAAGCAGACCAGACTTCCTCTTTGCACATTCTCATCACTCTCACCATCTGATCTCCATCTTCAATACTGAGTGAGTGCATGTGGCAGCTGTTCATGTGATGTATGTGTGCAGTTTGTTGGGAATGCTTTTCTCAGCGTGCTAAGTCTGTAAAGCATCACATGGAATCAGTGCCTTGGTTGGCAGACATTTGTGTTGAAAATGTGTATGTTGTTCACGCTTTATGCTGAGTGTAGTGTAGTAGATCTTCACAGTGACTGGTTTCAGAAAAATGCAAGAAGGCCTGTGTTGTTGTTTTTCCCATCCTGGCTGCTTCGACACTCCCTATTTGTGCCACCACTACAGCCTGTAGTTGAAATGATGCTGCTCTGCCTACGTAGATAGGTGAAAGAGAGACAACTTCCCTCGCATTTTTTCCGTCCATGGTGATTGGTGCTTCTTGTTATTGCTGTTGTCGCTATTGGCTAGATAACTTCATCATATCTGTCTTCTCTACGTTCACGTGAAGGAAGTTCCGTCTTCCCTCATTGCCTCGCCTCAACTCGCCACTTCCACCAACTTGTTAGTATTCGCCTTTAGATCTTCCAGTATGTGCGACAAGACATTTGATATAAGTCATCATCGGTGGCGAAATCCAAATCTTCTAGGGTAATATCATCGGGTGAGCCAGCATATGCCCATCTTCCCGCTCCTAACAGCTGATCGTTGCATGATCCAGTGGAGTCGGGCCGACTCAACCATAATCAGGAAGATGATCGGTGATGGTAGGCAGAAATCTTGTCTTATTCCTTTCCCTTATCTCCACTTCAAAGGTATCACTGAGCTCTTCACTGGTAATCAATTGACATGTAGCCTCATCATATTGCATACAGGTACTGTTGAATGAGGTTGATAAAGGTTTGTGACATTGAAGCCGTAGTGTTGAAGCAGCTACCTGCCAAATTACTTCTCAGTCTACACTGTCGAACGATTTTCAAAATCGATGAAGTTGAGGTAGATTTGAGTTGACTGCCGTTCTATGCTCTGTTGTATGGTGATGCGTAGCGTTGCAATTTGATCCGCACATGATTTCTCTTTCCTGAAGGCAGACAACCTGTTTCGATAGTAATTTTGAATCGAAAGCATTTTTGAGTCTGTCCAGTATGATGTAGCTTAGTATTTTGTTTGGGGTCGATAGGAGTAGGATTCCTCGTCAGTTCTTGAGAAGATTTAGGTCGTTCTTGTTTGAGAGTTTGACAAAGTAGCCCTTCTTCCAATCAATCGGCAGGTACTTTTACTTCCTTCCTTCCAGAGTTTCTGCAATAGTGGTGTGAGCATGTCCGCTGTTATCTCTGCATCTGTTTTCAGTACCTACCCAGCACACCTCCGCTTCACTTAGTTAATCAACGTTACTTTGTAAATATCATTTAACAAGTCAATAACTTCATAATCAATCGAAATAATAATCATAATGTTTCCCTCTAGAATTAAAAGGGAAAAACTGACAGAAAATGTAAAAATTGAATGTTGAATTTGACGAATTCAATAAACAAACAGACAAAAAATTCGAAAATCAATATCTGAAAATTGATTTGATACATTTACATACATGTATATGCGTTCATATTGAGCAGGATACAATCTTTTATTA